AGGGCTAAATACTAGTACAAGTATAAAGGGAACTATGATATTGTTGTATTTGAAATTAAGTGATTAGATGCAATGTTAGACTTATCCTTTTTGCTTTTGGTATTAAAGGATTAAAGGTTAAAAATGAGATATTATTATTATTATGTGTATGTGGTGTGTTGCACAGGTTATTCTACGTTTACTAAGTTCGATTTAGGTGTTAATTGTAGCTTTTAGCATATGTGTTATGTTTTGGACATCCTCATGTTGTGAAAAGTGGAGAAAATGTATTTGGATGTCTAACTGTATTGTGTGAAATTATTTGGAAGTAAAACCTGTGTCATTAGCTAGCTTATGTAAAATGCTTTCTGTAGACACTTAGATAATCTTGATCAGACATCAAATGTTAAATGAAGAAATAAGACATATTGCAAGTTGCCTATGGATGCTATCACATGATAGCACATTGCTATCAAACATTGTGTAGTGCATTACAGCATATGGCATCTACACCGTAGCATGCGGCATAAAGAGGAGTAAGCTGTGGTGCATGTGCACATGCAATAGTGCATCCTTTTATTTTCATTCTCACTTGATGTCTTCAACTAGTTTTGAGGCTTTTTGACTACCAAATGGTATCCCATGCTTCTGTACTCATATTTATCCTATTTTGGACTTATCAAGGTCTTATTGAATTGTTTTATAAGGTTCTAGAACTTAGGATCCCAATTATTGAAAGAATTACTTTTAGATTTTGAAATACTTTTACATAATTAACCATGATTAGGTAATCCTTTTAGGATTAATTCCAATGATTACCAATGATGCATTAGTTGTGTATTGGATTAGTAAGGGTGGCCTTACATGATGCATAATACATAAATCCTCTACACATAAAAGAACTAAGATGCATTACAAATATATTTGCTAATTGCTTGTCTTCGATTCCTTTCCCTTGCCACTACCTGAAGCATCACTTATAAAATGTTAAACCACAGTGAGTTAAATATCTCAATAACTAAGGACCACTAAACTCATACATATACAATAAAAGTATTTAAGGCATGTAAAGCCAGTAAATATAAACATAAGTCATATTATCCCATAGATAAGCATGTTTGATCATAATTACCCCTATCTCTTCCTTATTCTTTCTAATCGAATTTATAGGTTATAAATCCTAGCAGGATCAAATCCATGAGATTGGACTAGACCACAGTTTCTAATGTTCAAAGGGAAACTTGGCCAAAGGTTACTGCTCTTTAAACTTGAACCATAGACTTCTTCACTCTCAAATCCCATAAGGTGTCATAATATTATTGGGACCATACCAACTTACTAGAGAAGGAAAACACGACTAAGCCGAAACTATACCAAACTCTTACTAGAGAAGGTGAACATGACTATCATGTGACACTAGAGTCACCTAAGTGTTGACAATGCCATGTGGTTTATTTCACTGCTTTCTTCATATTTAGGGTAAACTCCCACTCATTTCATTTCACAATCATACCATATTAGCTTCACATACTCATAATATGAATACATTTATATATAATCATGTACAAAACTAGATCATGCTTCTTAGTCATCATGTTCTTATTTATTTCACAATTCCATCCATATTTCACAAAGCAATTTTATGCCCACTTACACATTTTCTAAAACATAAATTAACATTTCTACATTCCAAAACATAATTTCATATTTTGCAATGTAATGAATACTTATGACAAATATATGAGAAAATTTAAGCCTTTGGTTATCTTCATTCCTTGATTTATCAAAAAGGAATCTGTAGATACTCCTCAACTCAAGCATCCAATCGTGCTAAAGTGATCTGAATAGTTAATCTACAATTAACATTACCACAATCATTAATTCTCTAACCATATATTCCTTTGGTCAATAGTGAGAGAACATTAATTTTAGTCCTATTTATAAAGCACATTACTATTTTCTATATTATCTTTACATTTTTCCCTTATTAAATATTTTAAAAAATTATTAAAAATAATTCTTTATGTCTTTATTGGGGGTAGAGATAGAAACTTATTAAATTTTAAAACAAAATTATTGAGGTTTAAAATTTTTTTGATCTAAAAGTGACTTATAAAAAGGATTAGAGGGAGTGCATAGTTTTTCCTACTACCTATCTCACTCAAAAAATCTCAAAATTCAATTACTAGCTAACTTAGTTATCCCTTAGCTTCATTTGCTTCATTAGACTCCAAAAAGTCTATCCAAATCCATTTTACTCCCATTTCATCTCTATATTATTAATTTCCAACCCAAGGTTTAGTCAAAACCACAAAACAAATCACATAATCACTCCAATACTCTAACCATATGTTTAAAAACTTAAACAATAGCCCTATAGTCCCATTAAACCCATTAGATTAGGACATAGGCTTACCTATTTCAAAAATCATCATCCTAAACCTAAAACTTACACTATAAAATGCATAGGAAGGAAGAGAAGGATGTTAGGAAACTCACTCAAGTGATCTTGACTCCAAATAAGCCCTAAGATGCTAGAAACTCAATGTCCTAATAGAGAAATCTCTCCTCTTATTGCCTCTACTTAGGGCTAAAGTGACCTTGCTTATGGGTCCAATTAGTCCACTAATGACTCCTAACACATAGTTAACTTAATTAATATATTATTTTATAATTTTACCCTTGATTAATTTAATTAATCATAATTAAGTTTTCTAGGATGTTGCAGATACAATCAAGACATTTATAGTTTTGTTAAAGGATAAACTAAAAAAAATCAACTTTTAGAGACAACCAAAATATTTAATGCTAAGAGATCTATAATAATTGATGTTGAATTTATAAGGTAAAAGGAAACCTGAAGAGCATGGGAGCTAGGCATCTTCCTATACAGTTACAACGTGTTAACACGCTAGGGATGCTGAGAGACCTTTTGTTCCATGTAGGAAGGATTGCTATTAGGAAGAGGAAGAAGAGGACTTAAAGCTAAAGGGAGGATCACATGGACGTTGAAAATTTATATCCCAAGCAATAGCTCAATATGGCCTTACTTATCAGCACGCAGCCGAATGCATGAGCCATATTTGAGGGGAGAGCTAACACCATTCCTAGGAACGATGATATGTGAGAGGAGTTTGCTTGAGCCTAAATAGTAAAAAAGAGGATGGCTGGGTGTTATTGTTATATATGTTATATTGATATTGGTCATTTTCTCCATTATTCCTATGTGTCAAAAGTAGTTCATGGGTGGTTTTTAATACCATTAATTGTCACCTTTCTAGAAGCTTTTTAACCACTTTGAACTTTAGTCAAAAATAAAACATGGTGTAAATAAAAATAAAATAAGAGTATTTTAGTAATTGAATATAAAATTTTATTGGGAGAATTTCAATTAAAGACCATGAAAAAGACTTAATTATTAGTGGGTCCAAAAAAATTATAAAATTTTAATTCAATTCAGGAGAAAAAAGTCAAACTAATTTTAATGGTGAAAAGACCAAAATACTCTTTACTAATATAAGTTGCAAATTACATGAGTTGACATGTTAATAATTATATAAAACTTGACATCAGTTGTCCAATCATAAGTAGCAAAATCAGTTATTAAGTTGCTAACTTTACTTTTTAATTTACTAATATCAATTGTTAATTCCTGACAAGTCTTGTAATTTACTAATATCAATTGTTGATTACTGGCAGATCTTGTAATTCACAATTGATATTAGTAAATTAATAAATAAAGTTAGTAAATTAACAGCTAATGGTACTAATTATTTGAAAAAACAAATATAATTTACAAGTAATATTGGTAAATTAATAAGTGAAGTAAGAAAATTAATAATTAGGAATTCTGCATAACAAATAAAAGGTAGTTTGGTCTTTTTGCTATTGAAATTAGTTTGATTTTTCTCCCCTAAACTGAATAGAAATTTCAGATTTTTTTTTGACTCACCAATAATTAAGTTTTTTTTGTGATCCTTAACTGAAATTCTCTTGGTTTTATTTACACATGAAGAACTTAGGACTCTAAAGGTATTTGTACATTTTTATGGAATTTTAGAATATTTAGCTAACTTTTTTGGGCTTCAAAGTAATTTTCCATAATAACAATGACAGCTAGAGCAATTGAATGGAAGGCAGTGGTGTTGACAGGTTTAGTTTTGTGAAAAAATCAAATCGAACCAAAGCAATCAATTTATTATAATTTGGAACATACTTGATTTTTTTTGATTGATTTTGTTAGGTTTTTGAGTGATTTGTTTCAACTTAGTTTAGATTTGAATCAAGTTTGAACTTTTTCCATGAGATATTTTTCATAATCATCAATATATATGTATAATTATATTCATTGATAATTTTTTGCTATTAATTTCTAATTGCAATGAAAAAATCTCTCGAGCATAAAAGAATATATTTGTTAACAATTAATAAGCATATTTAATTATTAAAAATAAATATATTATATTTAAAACGCTTAATTATAAAATTTTAAAAATATCATAAACAATTATAGATAACATTAAACTAATTGTAACATATTTCTATTAATTATTTTTAAATAAGTAGACTTGGGAAAGGAAAAAAATAGATAAATTCATAATACATATAAAATAAATACAATAAGATATTTGTTTAGTTTAGCTCGACAACAAAAATCTGAATTGAACAGAAGTGACCCCTTTTGTTTTATTAACCTAACAAAAAAAATCAAACTAAATTTATACTCTTTTAGTTTAAAAATATAAGATATTTTTTGAGAAGTTAGATATTAAAAAATATAAAGTATTTTTAATCTTTGAAATGTAATCATTATCTTTTTTAAAAAAATATTTCTATTAATAAATAATTTTTTATTATTATAAAGTGTTTAATAAAAATGAATATAAAAATATAGAATTAATTTAAAAATATATAATTATTTTATTAAAAAAATAAGATTTAATGAAAAATATTTTATATTTTTCGTAGCGAGTAATAAATTTTGATGGGATCATGTTTTAGCGTTCGGCTGGTTTAAAGACAAAGAAGGAAGGTGGGTGTCTCGACCCGTCATAACCCTAGGCATCTTCTATTGTAGCTCGCTCTATCTCATAGCAATCTCTCTCTGGTAGTCATAGCTTCTGCGGCCAAGGTCTCGGGCTCCGATCTGCTCAGCACGGATTCCTATTACACCATGGGCTCCAGGAAGGGTGACAATCCTCACTCCGGCGATGGTGCCAGTCCTGGGTTTGTTTTTTCTCCCGCTGTTTCTAATTATCTTCTTCACCACCGTTTCGTTAAATTCGGATTTTTTTTTTATGCAGCAAAATCTTCATTGGAGGGTTAGCTAGAGATACAACACTCGGTGAGAATGATTTTACCTTTTATGTTTTTTTTTTTGAGTCTGTTTCTTTGTACTGAACCATCTGATTTCATTGATGGGACCTTTTGGTCGGTTTTTCGATTCAGAACAATTTGTCAAGTATTTTGAGAAGTATGGGGAGATAACAGACTCGGTGATAATGAAAGATCGGCATACGGGTCGACCCAGGGGTTTTGGTTTCATTACCTACGCAGATCCTTCTGTTGTTGACCGCGTTATTCTGGAGAACCATGTGATCAATGGCAAACAGGTAGACTCCTCACATTGGAAAAAAATAAGGGGAAATTGACTTATGGCTTTTACTGTAATTATGTTCTCGTAACAGGCTAATAAATCAGTTTTCCTTAGTGAAGTTAATAAATCCAGTTTAATTTCTTCCTCCAGTCTAGTTCAGTTCCTCTTTACATATCAGTGTTGCATGTTTAATTTTGTATATTGACCTTATATTTATTTCATTTTTGATGCTCTCTGAATATTAATATACGTGTTGAATTATTAATCAATATCCTTTAGTTTCCAGTTGCCTTTTTTATCTATCACATAGGATATTTCCGGCTTGAAGCATAGGATTCGTTGTGGTTGCTTCGCTACCAACCTTTTTTTTTTTTTTTTAAACATTATGGATGATGTTATAGACTTATAGTACAGATAGGCTTTCGCAACCAAGCAAACTCTTTTCTGTTTTTCCCCTGCTTCCTTTCAAAGCATGATTAGTTTGTTAAAATTTAACAACTAGTGGAGTTGGAATAATTTCAAGTAGAAATATCTTGTTATAAATTTAAGGCTTAGGGCATTGGTTTCCATGATAAATTTGTTACAGGTGGAGATCAAAAGGACAATTCCAAAGGGCTCATCACAGGCTAATGATTTTAAAACCAAGAAGATATTTGTCGGTGGTATCCCAACCTCAGTAAGCGAAGGTTTGTATTCTAGCCTTCTTTATGCATTTCTAGTTCCTTTAATCGGCTTGTTATAGACTTATAGTCATTAGCTAATAAAGTTAATAATCTTGATCTGCCTTGTAATATTCAGATGAATTGAAGAACTTCTTTTCAAAGTATGGAAAGGTTGTGGAGCATGAGATTATTCGTGATCATACTACTAAACGCTCTCGAGGATTTGGATTTATAGTGTTTGACGGTGAAAAAATTGTTGATAATTTGCTAGCAAATGGAAACATGATTGATATGGCTGGTACTCAGGTGAGTTCTATTTGTTTGTTCAGGATATTTTACATAAACCAAACCAAATCCATGGTGTCTTGTATAATGAAACAATTTGTTTCAATCCAAAATGACATTTGGGTGAAGTTCATTTGTTTTTACTTTCTGTTCTCGTCCAATATAATGCCATTAGTCATGCTATATTATCATGTTGGAGCTATGCTGTTCGACTCCTGGTATAAGTGGGCTTACTTCAGGTTAATTCTCAAGCCAGGCTAAAATATTCTGCTTATGGAAGAATCTAGGTTGACTTACTTCTTTGTTGTAGGTTGAGATCAAGAAGGCTGAACCCAAGAAAGCCTCAAACCCAGCATCTTTTCCTCCATTTGGTAGTGATAGGGCACGTCCATACAGTGATGGTTATGGTGGATTTGGCGAATCCTATAGCAGTTTTGGCAGTGGCAGTTTTGGTCCTGCTTCTTATAGGTCACTTGGAGGTTTCAGCAGCAGGCTTGGTGATTATGGTGGGTATGGTGGTGATGAATTTGGTGATAGTTTTGGAGGCTATGGTGGTGGTGGTGGTTATGCTGGCTATCGAGGTGATTCATCATTTGGCTATTCTAGCCGCTATGGTTCCTATATGGGGGGCCTTGGTGGTGGATATGGTGGAAGTGGACTAGGTGCATACGGGCGAGGCACTGGGGGCTTTGCAAGCTATGGTGGACCTGGTTCTGGTGGGGGTTATGACTCTGGCCCGGGTGCCGGCTATGGTGGGCCAGGGGCACTGTATGGTAGTAGAGGAGGTTATGGAGGCAGTAGTCGTTACCACCCTTATGCAAGATAGATTTATGCCTAAGCTTTGCCATAGAAGTTCCGTGCAGGTTTAAGCATCACATTTCATAGGCACAGGGCACTTAATGCAGGTGACCACTATCTAGAAGTCAGATGAACCGTTAGCAAGTCTGTATTGCATTATTGCGTAGACAGCTGAAGGTAGAATCTCATCAATCTAGTGCAGAATCTCATCAATCTAGAGCACTACATTCGCAATCAGCTGTGTTTCTAGTTAGCCATATCTCTGTTTTTTTTTTCCTTTTGATAATCAGATTGTTGCAATTTAGATTGTCATATTTCTAGATATGATCTTTAGTTAGAATCACAGTGGAGTTGTGTGAATCATGATCTTTCTGAGTTTTGCTTGGTAAGCCTGTGTTAAAGATGATGACATCCGTTGTAGGATTCTGTTCCCTATTATTTAGTTTCATGTTTAGATGTATATTGTTTATGATAGTTTTCAATTAGCGTCAGCAGGTTATTGAAGTCACATGGTGACTTGAAGGGTTGGTTCCCTGCTGAGGTATCCGTTGTTAGATATAGTAATTGGAATCACAGAAAGGATTGGACTATTGATCCAGACTTTTAATTTGAGAATCTTAGATTCTTTTGAGTGACTTTGCGATGGATATTTAGATATCCATTTTCTCCTCTTAGCCCCCGCAAGGGGATTAAATTAAAATATACGTTATATCAACTCTGGCCATCTTGCAGCCATGATTGTCTTCCTGCATCAATGGACTTATAGTTTTGAATTAATTTTTTTAATGAACTCATCTATCAGGGACTTTGTTCTGAATATCTAAATGAATGTAGTATTCAGAACTTTTTGGTACTGCTGCATCTCCTTCAACCCCAATAGATATACTCTTTTCCTGGACGGTATACGTGTCATGTATTTAGCCATACCCTTCTTATACCATCCTTTTGGGAGTTTGGGTCATATTGGTGACAATTAGATTGTTGTTTTTGTTATAAAATAAAATCCTGGGTTTCCCCCCTTTCCATGCCTCTTTCTGTAAGGGAGAAAATGAGAAGCTTAAGTTGCATGTGCTTTAAACCTTGGTGTATGCAAATTTGACTGTGTTGCCAATCTCATTTCTTTGTAGCAAAAACTGAATGAAAATCCATAAAACAATGTGGAAGTACGCTCATATACATACAAAAAACAATGCCTCTTTCTTTGTTTTGTGATGTCAATAATGACTCTTTATGCGTTTTGTTCAGTAACTTTTTTCTTTTTTTGGCTTCTCTTTTTCTGAATGATAGGCTATTTGGTTTATTAATATTATGCTTTGGTGTTATGACACCTTTCTTCATTGTATGCTATAAATTATGACACTTTAATTATGTCTTCTGGTCTCATACTGGTTCATTCTTCTGCAAATCTAAAATTCCTGTTTCTTGTTTGGAAATGTGTTCAAATGAAAGTTGGTATTTCTCCAGGTTAGAATTGATTAACACAAACACGTTTTTTGGTGCAAGTTTTGTGATGCTTTTTTTTTTTTTTTTGCATAAATGTTGGTGCAAGTTTTGGCTAATGTAAAAACTTGTCAACACTTTACCGGGCCATGCATTTGCTATATAGAAATTTGGATATAGCTAATGTTGATTTTATCCTTAACCTTTCGCAATCTATAGTTTTTCTTAAATGTATGACAGATCAATAGGGGCTTTTCTAGCTTTGCAATGATTTTAATTCTAATTCGTAGTTCGTTGTGAAGCATGAACTAGATTCTATTCCAGTCTATACTTTTACTAAGACGTTTAAATGTGAAATCGAGAATGGCCAACGAGTGTAACATTTGCTGTTTGACGGAGAATGATATTTTGACGATGTAAAATGCTGCTGTTTATCTGTAATGTCAAGAGGTATGGTCTTGAGTTGACCAACACAACGTGGTATGCGTTGAACAACTTTGAAAGAGCTTGGCTTGTTTCAATTCAAACGTGTTAAGATTATAGGCCAACGAACAAATAATATCGTTGCGCAATAAATTTTCCATGAATCAACTATTGATATCAATTTTAAATGATATACGGAAAATCTGTACGTCACCTTTTTCGCAATGTGCATGTGCCCAGATTTTAGTTTTCAACTCCAATTATATAGTTGTGAAGTTTCCATTATAAAATGTATATAGGGTTATGCCAGTTGAATGCGTCCTCCTTTGTTTATACTCTTTCTGTTTTAAATTATAAGATAATTTTGTAAGTGTTTTAATGTTTCAAAATGAGATAATTTAATAAAGACAGAATGTTCTTGATGATACTTTTCAGACATCAACTTTCAAGCTAAGAGAAATGAAATGAGTGTAGGTTTAAATATATATTTAATTATGAGTAGTTTTATTAGTATATATTTTTGTTTTGAAAAATTTAAGGTTTCAAAATGTCATTGTTGAATTTTATTTATGCAAGTACTTCTGTCTCAAATTATTTTATAATTTGAAATGAGGGGTGTATGCATTTTCTGGCACTTTTGAATGGGGGAAGGTCTCGTTAGCAGGTTTGACACAAAATGAGGGGGAAGGGCGTATATCACTTTCAATCATTTACCGTGTATTTAAATATTATTCTGGTTTGTAATGTGAGATAAAGTTAACAAACTCTGTATATTAAGAAATGTTATAACTTAAAAATTGTAAAAAAAAAATGTAATTTTTCAATTTCATCCTTTGTATAATTATTGATTATTGTAAGTTCAAGATTTTATGACAATAAATAAGTGATGGATAAAATTGGAAAAAGCATTAATTACTGTAGTTTCATTTTATATTCAGGATATTTTTTAATTTCCTTTTATATTAAGGATTGGAAGGAGTAATAAAATGATAAACGAAGAAGTCTTAATATGATGTATTCATTTTTCGACATTTCCTCGACTATCCCGATGACTTTTTGTTTCATAGATCCTAGGACAGTATAGTAATTGGCAAGTATTTCAATTGATGCAATCTTTAAGATTAACTAACTAGATTTTCCTTGGGATATATATCAAGGAATGGATGATTGATTTAAGGGAAATGGTAGGAAGTTGAGGTGAAGAGAGATTTTAACGAGTTTAATTTTTTTTTAAAGGTAAAAGAATAAATTAATTTTTAAATTATAAGTTTATGAATATTTAGATTTTAAATTTATTTTTAGTGTAATGTTTTTCTTAAATTTTTAAAAATGGTGCAATCTATCTTATTATTTATAAAAGTTAATTTTGATTGTTAGTTGACTAAAAAATAATAAAAATAATTTTAAAAATTATAAAAAATGATTAAAAAAGTATAGTAAATAACCAAAAATTATAGCAAGGATTCAAAAAATTATAGAAAATAATCAAGAAAATTTTATTCATCTTTTTTGGTAATTTTTGAAGCCCTTTTCTCTCACTTTTATTTGTGAGAGAATTATGTTGAAGTCTCACATGAAAGAATTAATTATTACAAGGTCCATTAATAATTGAATTGAGAAAAATAACAACACATTGTGTTGTCAATAGCTTTAATTTAGTTGTTAATGGATGTTGTGGTAATTAATTTTCTTGTAAGAGAATTGAGAATTAATTATTACAAGGTCCATTAATAACTGAATTGAGAAAAATAACAACACATTATGTTGTCAATAGCTTTAATTTAGTTGTTAATGGATGTTGTGGTAATTAATTTTCTTGTAAGAAACTTATATATAATTCTTCGTTTATTTTTCTACATTTTTTGGCCTTCATTTGAACCTAGATTTCTAACTTAGGTAAAAAAGAAAAAGTAAATACAACTTTAATTATTTGAATAAATAAGAAGGAAAAGAAATTGAAGGGTATGTGATTTCTTAAGGTTCTGTTTGGTTATTAGAAAAGAATATAATAGAATAGATTGAAAAAATCATAACAAAATTGAATTAGATCATCTTTTGTCCTTTCTCTCATCATAAGTATGATAAAATTTATTAATATATATTATAAATGTGAGAATTATCACACTCTTTAAAAATTTTATGAATTATAATTTTCAACCTTATGAAATAAATTACTCTTCTCCCTTATGAATGTAAATACCTATATTTTTTGATCATCTTATTTTTACCTTTATTTTTTTCATCTAATTCATTCCATTCTTTTATAGTAATCAAATGGGATCTTAGAGATTACATATAACTTCACTTAAACGCTAAGTAGAGAAATAATGTTTATAATTGACTGAAGTGTTGAAAGTGGTTTAAGAATAAATAAAAATAGTTAAAGTAGTTTAAATTGAAATAAGATAATATGTGATAATTATTTTTTTTCCAAATAAGACATAAATTAATGTTTTAAACTGGTAATATTATATATCTCATTATCCATATTTAAGATCAAAATAGGGATATGATAACCATTATTAGTATTTAAAGTAAATTGTGTTTAATTTCTTTGTCAAATATAGGATATGATTAAAGGGCAAAAATATCTAACAATTTTTTCTCCAAAAACACCTAGTATCCTTAAGTGAATAAAAGTGCAAAAGTACCCATAAACTTGTTTTATTGAGTGCAACAATTCTCATCTCAATAAATTTGATTGACATTTATTATGTTGACCGTAAAAAAAAAAAAAGCAAACATAAGGTGCAAAAAATATAGAAACGTTTTCCATAGGAGGTTTTGATATTTTTAAGTCAATAGTAGTGTATGCGTGTTCATTAACTTTATAAAACATGCCAACATTTTTCAATCTGTTGAATTCTATTATTAGAACTTCATGATCAATGTTAAGTTATTTTAATGGACTGGAAAATATTAAAGTTAGTAATTAGGATCAAACCCAACAGGTTAGGTCAAGCTTGAGAGTTTAGAAAGTCCTCCTTACTTCATATCCAAGCAAGTTTGAACCCAAATGAACTTAGCCAAAGTACCTGAATTCTTTTTTATTATTAATAAAATAAATTAAAATTAGATAAAATTTTAATTTTTTTTAAAGATAAAAATTGATATGGACTAAAAAAGTAAAATAAATTAATATTTAACAATTTGGGTTTTCAGGCCAGTTCGAAAACTTGAGGTGTTTAGGTTTGGGTTTGGTTATATGACCTCTTTTATAAAAGTTAATGGGTACTCAAATAACATTCTTGACTTAAAGATATTAGAAGCTTTTGGAGAAAATGTTTCTAGTTATTTTTATACCTTAGTTTGTTTTCTTTTCTTTTTTTTAATGGCCAACATTAACAAATATTAATCAAATTTAATAGGATAAGGATTGCTGTCCTCATTAAACAAGTTCATAGATACTTCTGCACCTTTGTTCACTTAAGTAGTGTTTTGGTTGAAGGGAAGAAGAGGGATTTTGTCTCCCTCTCCTTGTTTGGCTTTAAAATTTCTAGTTATTTTTTAAAAATTTCCCCTCCAAATTTTTTGGGGGGGGGGGGTCAGGTGGGAGAGGAGAGATAAAATTTGCCACACCCTAACCAATATATCCTCCATGGTAAGTTCAAAAAATGCACATATGTTTCTACAGTATTTAAACACTAACAAAATGAGGATAAAATTGTTCATATATAATTATGTTTCCTCTCCTCCCCTCCTAAATCAAACAAGGTAATATCAAATCTCCCCCCTCCCCTCTCCTTTAAAACCAAACACACCCTTAAAGATATTGGGTGTTCTTAGAGAAAAGTTGTTGGATATTTTTGCCTTTTAACCTTATAGGATAATCCAAATTTAAATATGTTTCCTAAAAGATATATTTACTTATTGATACATTTTTTAATTTTTAGTGTAAAATTAGTGGAAGAACTATAATTTAAAATCCTTTATTCCTCTTGAAAATCTTCTTCTAAATTTAGAAAATAAAAAATGCTTTGAACATATTTCTTACCCAGATTTATTAAATCAATCTTTCACTTTTCGAAGATAAGAAATTGTATTGATGTGGCGGTTTAGACGAATGATCTGATTTTATATTTTCTATATCAAATTTGATCTTGTCTTCATCTACCACCAGAGGAAGATGAATAATTTATTGTATATTATTAACAGAATTCAAATCCCATACTTATGATAGTTCTTAGGAACTTTGATCGAAATAACATTTGAAAAAAAATTACAAACTTAATGGTTTTTTTATTGATAATTCATGTGCAAGGTAGACTTGAAATTTTTCTGCATAAGTTTTAATAGCTAATTTTATTTAAAAATTTTAATTTTTCATGAAATTCAAAATTGTGATATGCCAGTTTTATCTGTAGAATAGAATGAGAATATATCATATCATATTTTTCATGGAAGTATAGATTAAGAATCCAACCTACCTAAATCGGAAACTGCCCTATCTAATCTAGTTTTATGCCCCTTTTTTGGGTAAAAATAATGAATTTACGTATGCATTTCTACTCATAACTTATTAAAATATTAATACTTAATATTTAATAATTTAAATAATATTATTATTTATAAATCTTCACACACAATTCACTAGTTAATTTTTAAAATTTATAAGTAAATATGTTTTAAACTAGTTAAGTTATAAATTAAACTAATGTGATAATTTATAAATATTTTCATGTGCCCAATTGTTTTAACTTATTTCACAAAAAAATATTTATTTATTGAAAAAATTTATGTTGTGAGTTTTTATTGTGTTGTTTAAGCTTTTAAAAATAATCACAATAAAAAAATATATTTTTTAATTATCAAAAAAATTAATCTTTTAGTCCTTCAATTTTTAATTCACTTGTAACCAAATTCCTCAACTATAACTCGCTGCGACTCAATTCTTCAACTATAACTCGTTGCGACTTAGTCCCTCAACTTTTGATTAACTTATAATTCGATCCTTATTTTTTTAATTTTCTTTAAAAATTTCCTTATCAAATAAGAGGGATAAAAGAAATGTTCAATATATTATTCTAGAATACGCTCCTCATGTTCTTTGATATGAGATCTAAGCTAACATTAAAAAAGAAATTTAACAAAAGTTGAGGGATTGAATTATAAGTGAGTCAACAGTTAAGGGATTAAGTTATAGGCGAGTCATAGTTGAAAGACTGAGTTGCAGCGAGTCATAATTGAGGGATTAAGTTATAAGTGAATTAAAAATTGAAGGACTAAAAAATTAATTTTTTCTTAATTATTTTAAGAAGCTACTTTGAGTAGCTCTTGAAAATAATGTAATATGATAGATGAGATAGAATATTTTAAAGAGGTAAGATATACAAAGATATCATAAAATTTTAAAATAATATAATAATAAATTATTTTTATAAAACAAAAATCAAGGAAGATATCATAAAATTTAAACATAACTGACTCATAATCACTTTTTATTATTATAATTAAACATAAAATAATATATTTTTTTTGTAAAATCTCTACGAAACAAATCTCTTTTTATAAAATCTTTAAATTATCTAAAAATTAATTATTTTTTAATTTTAAACAAACAGGCTCATATTAGCTTAAAAAAGGAATTAAATGAAACACTACTCAGCATCTTTCCAAAATTATAATTATCATAACTATCAAATTAAACTAGCATCAAAATAAATAAATAAATAAATAAATAAATGTACCACATATCACCAACGCTGGTAAAAAAAAAAAAAAAAAGTAACTCTATCAACTAAATATTTGTGGCGTCTTTTCATCATTCTCGCCTGACAACTACCATGCAAAGCTTGTTTTGAATATCTCTGAATGCCCAAACATCAATTATATCGTCCTTTTGGAGTTTGTCTTCAAAAACTATCTTATTCCAACCACCATTTAATACATATTGATAACTTATATTCTGACGATCATCTTCATTCTTATGCAAATCCCACTGCGCAAATGTTAGTGTGGTCTCAACAATGAGAGGATGATCAAGAGACGTTAATCCATTATCATCATCATTCTCTCTTAATGGTTTATGAATCACTGACACTTTGAAGTTTTCTCTATGCCTCAGGCTTGTAATCTCACTGTGTTCCAAGAACTCAAAACTCTCTATTTTGTTTAGAGGCATTGTGAGTCTACCATGATTTTTGCTTACATCTGAACTGTATAACTTCTTCTGGTAAACATGAATGATCTGGGTTGGCTGAAATCTGCTACATTTCTCATTGATTTTTTGTTTAAATTCATCTGGCAACAGTGGCACATTATTTGAACTATCTTCTTTGATCTTCTTCTTATTTGATAATTGATTTATCCATTCTTCAGTGGGAATCTCAAGATCATTCACTTTTCTTTTTGAACTATTATTATTGCTGTTATTGATCACTAGAGACTTTCTCATTGGTTTCTTCAAAGATAATTTCTTGGTGTTATTCTTTATTATTGGTTTGGCAATTTTTTCAATTGAGTCAGCCTCAACATTTGCTTTGCCCTTGTTTGACTTTTCATGATCAAGTTCCACAACAACTAATAAAGCTTCAATGAGAGTTGGATTTGGATTCAATTCCTTGCCTTCCAAATCTTCAAGAGTAAAGAATTCATTAGACATTCTCGCTTGAGTGGTAGAGGAGCACTTTTTCCTGTATAAATTTCAAAAAATAGTAATTAATTAATGCTCTGTTTCTAATCAATCACAATTTAAGGTAATGTTGAATTATAAGAATAAATTATACACTATAGGAATAGAATGCGTTACATATTAAAAATAATCAAAACATTTCCTTAAATAAATTTAAAGAATAACAATAAGTTTATGGTTTAAATATTATTTTTCCTCCTAAACTTTTTTCTGGAGAGTGTTGAGCATATTGTACAAAAAGGTGATACAATATTCTCCCTAAACAATTTTTTTTTAAGAGCAAAATTACTCTTATGTCAAAAACTTGTCATCTTTTTTGTTATTTATTAATGTGGAATAGTTGTGAGGTCTACATATAGTGACAGCAAGATATTCTAACTTATTTTAATCATTGATCTTATATGGGTCAAAAGGGGTTGGAAGTGCAATAGTAGTGGCAGAAACCAAGCTTTATTTTAGCTACAAAAAAGACAGTAAAGTGGCTTAGAATGTTTTTTTGTCATTATATGTGGGCCCTACAATTATTTCACATTAACAGATAATGGAAAAGATGACAAGTTTCTAACAAAAGGACTATTTTGCTTCTAAAAAAATGTTTAGAAGAAAAAATAATCTTTAATCAAGAATTTATTTCTATCTATGTGAGAGAAGCATGTTCTTCATTATATTAGCATGAGATAGAACAAGTGAAAATATTATGTTTGATGTTTGGATTTTTCATATTACACATTAGAAAAGATATCATTAAAAGGAATATTATATTGTTCAGGAAGCAAATTAATGAATATAAGTAAAATGGTAGCTAAGTTAATTACTCTTCATTTATTATTCAATCTACAAATTAATATTATTTTACAAAACAAAGCACAATTTAATTTCTAATTAAACATAATTTAAGATAATGTTGTATTATAAGCATAAACAATTCGATACACTATTGACAATACAATGTAATATATGCTAAAAAAATCAAAACATATCCTAAAACATAAATAATAGAAATAAATTTGTTCAGTACATGTGATAGAAGCATGGTATTCATAATATTGGTACGGGAAAAATATATTGTGTGTAATATTTGGATTTTTCAAATTACCTAAGAATAAATAAATATTGTTAAAAGTATTACTCGTCTGGAGGTAGAAAAATCTTAAGTAAAAATTTATTGGTTGAGCCTACAAATTATACGAAAACTCAAATTACAAAAAAAAAAAGAAAAAACAAGCGACATATTTTTGTGAAGCTACACCTATCACGAAATTAAAATACCACAAATTGAAACCTTCAACTTAACAAATTAATAAAAAAAACAAACGAATAAAGAAAAGTCCAAGCTTGTTTGATTCTATTTTTCAGTTTTTCAGAATATTTTTTAATTTTTTAATTTTTAAGATAGATACTAAAAAAACACATTTTCAAACAATTTTTTTTTTTTCTTGTTTTCTAAAAAAACTGATTTGAAAACAGGGCATTAATAGGGCCTTACAACTTTCATAAAGAAAAAAAATGTGTGACAATTATAAGCAAAGTCTAAATAAAAAATTAATTGTTTGTTGTTAAAATAAGATTAATTCATGAAAAAAATGTTATTCACAGACAAGAATTAATATAAAATTGATTGTTATTAAAATAAAAATAAAGACTTGTTTTCTTTTAAATGGTAATTTGTTATTGATCCTTGTCTGTGAATAACATTCTTCAACGATTTTTAAGTGTGATTTTCCAAAAAAAAAAATCAATTTGTCAAAATTGAGTATGAAGGCTTCATCAAAATAAATTGTTCCATAGGTTAGAATAATGATTCAAGAAGTATCAAACAATTATTGAAGATGAAAGAGAAATAAGAGAAGAATTAATAGCAGAAGACACACAAAATTTAATGTAGAAACATATAATATATACAATCTAAACATTATAAGAAAATTAATATGAAAAATCTAATACGTTTTAGAACATGACGATGCTGATCAATACTTACAAAAAAAAAAAAAGTGTGTGATAATACGTCGAGGTGAGATAGAAATTCTAATATAAATTAGGACCACATATTTGGAAACAGTAAACAATTGAGTTTTAAAGAAATTAAATAAAACTTTAATTATGTGAATAAATACAAAAGGGGAAAAAAAATTTGAAAGAGTACCTGCTTAAGAGGTTTAGAGACGACCTTGCTCAAATGCTTGAGTAGAGAAAAAATGTTTGTGAGTGACTGAAGTGCTGAATGAAAGATTATGAGAATAAATAGAAATATTTAAATAAGTTTAAATTGAAATAAGATAATATGGAATAATTATCCTTTTTCAAATAAGACACAGATGAATATTTTAAAGACTTAAACTAATAGTAATATTATATCTCGTTATATGTATTTCAGATCAAATAGGAAAAGAATGGTGTCATATTAAACAATTATTAATGTTAAAATAAATTGTATTTATTTTTCTAAGTATCGGCTAATCTAATTCTATTTTTTGTTTCAAAAAGATATGATAGAGTATGGTTAATTAAGTATATCTAAGCCATTTCGACCGGAAATTAAAAAAAAAAAAAGGTGGGTACATCTAAGCCAAACCCAAAATATTTAAAATTAGATTAAAGTCCGACTAATTTTTTATCTGTAGATGGTTTACATATACTGATATACCTTTTAAAAAAAATAAATATACTCTCTCCGGTCCTATTTATAAGTCATTTCTATCAACCTTATCAATACCAATACAATAAAAGTACAAGGAATAAAAATAAGTAAAATTCCAAACATGCCCCTATATAACAAATCTAAAAAGTAATGTCCTGTTACTTTTTCTCTCTCATGAAGGATAATTTTGGAAATACCTCTCAAATATTACCTAAAAAGACGCATCATGACTTATAAATGGGACCAAATACACCTTCTAAAATGGGACTTATAAATGGGATCGGAGGGAGTACCTTTTAAAAAATAAAGCTATGTATCTCGTGAAAAAAGTTATAAGAAATCAAATATAAAATACATCTTTCACCATTTAAAAATAATTAGAATAAAAATATATAACATCACCAACGTCAAATTTATTTTTTTAGATATAAAAAATTTAGAGGATTGAAAAATAAAAGTTGAAAAATCTTCTTATGAAAATTGAAAAACAAAAGAATTTTTTAACATGAGTTTTTGTATTTTAAAAAATGCTTAAAAATATTTTGAAGAGATTTAAGTTTAGAAGGGACAAAGAACGCTATAATTTTCACAAAAGAAAAAAAAAACTGATGTACTTTTAAGAGGCATGTTCATTTTTAATTCCGTTATAAAGGTTTTTTTTATAAAAATATTTTTTAACAGAGTGATTCAAGAATAATTAAGGATAAAAGAACACATTGGCCCTAAAGTATAAATCACTTTTAAAAATAGTGTGATATGATCCTACCATTAACAAAAGTTCACTTTCACAGTTAGTTGATTAAAAAATAAAAAAAAATTTAAAAATTATAAAAAAAGATAAAAAAAACTATGGTAAAAGACCCAAAAGTTACATGTAATAATCTGAAAAATTATAAAAAAGGACTAATAAAATTTTATTTGTCATTTTTATAATTTTTGATATCATTTTCTATTAGTCAACTAACTGTTAAAATTAATTTTTGTTAATAGTGAGATTTAAATTATATTATTTTCAAAAATTGAAAATGAACATCACGCCAAAATAATAAGTTTAAGGCCTCAGGTATTTCCAGACCTATAATTTTGAGGCCAATTAATTTGCTCTTTTACCCAATAATAAAACAAATAAAGAAGAAAAAAATAGTATATAACACATGAGATTTAACGTAGAAAACATCTAATAAACAAAATCTCAACTTGTATATATATTAAAAAAAGTACATGACACCTAAGACCGCTAAAGATTTTTCTTTTTTTTTACCATTATGATGCTTATTATTTGAATATAAAAGGAAGGGCGAAAAAAATAATAATAATCAAAGAGTACATACCTTCTTCGAAAATCAGAGATGACTTCACTTCAATACTTTTCCTAAAGAATGAATGCTCTTGACATAAATGACTGAAGGGTTGAGGAAGTTTTTAGAATAAATAGAAAGATTTAAATAAGTTTGAATTGAAATAGGATAATATGTGATCATTAATAATTATCCTTTTTCAACTAGGACACAAATTAATATCTTATCTTCCACTAATAATATTCATCTCAATATATTTATTAATGATCAAATAGGAACAGGATGGGGTCATTTTAAACAAAATAACACAATTATTCATGTTAAATTGATCATATTATTTAAAGTAGATCGTATTTATTGATTTATGTTGGTCAGAAATTTATTTATTCTAAACATAGGCGAATCAAATTTTAAATTTGTTGTCAAAAAGATATGGTAAAGTTTGGTTAACAATGTATATCTTGGACAAACCAAAAAAATTTAAAATTAGATTAAAATGTGACTTTTTCCCCCCTTTAGTGACATGTGTTAAACAAGTAATAAAAAATATAAAATATATATTTCACAAATTAAAAAATAAAATAAAATAAGATTATATGATCTGTTAATATTTATAGGTTAAAATACATGCAATGCCCTTGAACTTTAGGTCATTGACATATAACCCCCTCAACTTTAAAAATGTAAAACTGAAACCCTGAACTTTTTAGTATTAAAACAACTGTTGAATCTAATGGAAAGTGCCACCTCAGATTGAATAAAACCACTTAGGCAAATGACATGGAATTTTCAATACTGTGACAACTGTAGTCGACCCGTTTCACTCTAACCTTGTCAACGTGCTTGCGGAAATTTCGCGTGAAAACAGAGTATCTACAACAGTTTTTAGAGATTATGATTTTTTTCATATCAATTTCAATCAAAATTATTTTCTTAACAAAAAATGTATAACATATTTCAAGACAGTTTATGTGGAAATCGTCCTTACTAAAGTTGTTAAACTCATAAATTTAAGTAAATTCATGATAGAAATG